CTCAGGGAGACACCACGTGGAGACTGGAGGGAGGCTGCCATGAAAAGTCTAGGACGGCCGGGGGCTCGGTGGCTCAGCCTGTAATCCAGCGCCTTTGGGAGGCTGAGGTGAGTGGATTGCCTGAGCCCGTGGGTTCGAGACCCACCTGGGCTGCGAGACCTCATCTCTACAATAAATCAAAAAATCAGCCGGGCTGGTAGCGCATGTCTTTAATTCCGGCTACCTGGAAGACTGAGGTGGAAGGATCGCCGAGCCCAGCAGGTCGAGGCTGCGGCCACTGCACTCCAGTCTGGGCGACAGAGTGAGACTCCAACTCAAAAAAAAGAAAAAAAAAAGAAAAGTCTAGGACGGAGGCTTGTGTAGCCCCTCCTGACACTTTGCGAGAGAACACGGCCAGCCCACACCTTCATCCTGGGGTTCAAGGTTCCAGTGGGGGGACAGACAGCATCCGTTGCTTGAGGCACTGAGCTTATAGTATTTGTCACACAGCCCTGGTTGACTAATACACCTATTGAAGCCTTATGGCTCTGAGCTCTTTCTGGTTCCTCCAGCAGTCCAGGCAGTCCCTCCGCAGGCTTCCCCCAGCGGCATCGGGCATGGGTGTCACTGGCCCCTCCCATGTGTCCTGCCCATGCTCAAATGCCTCTGTTCTGGGTGCTGCCCTGAACACTCTGTTAAAAGCAGTGGCCGGACTGCCCTTCTCCCCGTGCACTTTCCACGATATGAACACCATAATTAATCCACTCTCTTCTCACCAGCCCCGCTCCAGATGTGAGCTCTAAGGGCAGGGATTTCTCTGATGGGTTCACTGCTGTATGCTGAGTATGCAAGAGCAGACGTTTGATAAATATTTGTTGAATTAATGAATGACATTTTAAATCCTGACACTTGAAGTGAGGGTGTCTGAAGGCAGCTAGTCAATATAAACCACTACCACGTGGCATTTTCCTAGGTACCACCGAGTTAAAGAGAAAGTTAGGACTCTGGACTCCAGAGGACTTAAAATCTCAACAAACACACATCCCAGTGAAAATGGAATGCTTGGTCAATACTTGACTTTCATTAAGAGTTTAGATTCTCTAAAAATTTTTATTAAACTGGCGATCCTTTGGCCTCAGTCTTCCAATATAGTTGATATAGTTGATACTTCCCACTCGTCAGTTAGTTGACTAATTGGTATTGGAACAGGAAGATGGAGACAGATTGTGTTGTCCGAGCATTGTATAAAGAGCACTAAAGACTTTCTTATGGGGGGGGATTTCTAAAGTGGACAAAAAAGCCTTCCAATTTAAATGAAAAGAAAGCCAATTCTCACAAGAGGTGTCTGGTTTCCTCTGGATCTTATTCCACATCAAGTGATAATTGTATCTCTTTAGGTCAGCTTGAGATTGACACCCAGAAGCCTCCAGGAGTGATACCCAGCACTTGGACAACAGTTCTGGACCATAGCTGGGGAAACCACAGCTCCTACACAGAAGCTATGTGGATTAACATCAGGATATGACACCTGTGTACATGTGTTCAGGCCAACATGACTCTGATGGTCGGGTATGACTTTAAGTTGGTTTCCTATCACATGCAGCCACTCCCTTGCTGTCCCTACATTTCTTACCATTTGCTTTAGGAACCTCTGCTTATCCAACCAAACAGGTATTCTGTCAGTAGTACGCTTAAGATGTTAAAACAGTGTTTTAAATTATACACATAAAGAGCCATGGTAGGCCAGGCGCAGTGGCTCAAACCTGTAATCCTAGCACTTTGGGAGGCCAAGGTGAGAGGATTGCCTGAGCCCAGGGGTTCAAGTCTTGGGGAACTTGAGACAGAGTGAGACTCTGACTCAAAAAAATAAAAAATAAATAAAATAAAGAGTCATTGTACAGAATATTTTGAAGATAATGAAAAATATTATCTGTTGCCATTTTGGTAGCTGTTTTCTCAGTTTTCACATAGCTGTAATTAGACTCTGGCTATATGATATTATAATCATCTTACCATAATGCTTCATAAAATGAACAATGCTGCTTCACAATGGTGTTTTGGTGGCTGTCTAAAATTCAGCTGAAGGGATGAACTGTAACTGATAACCATTTTCTTACTGTGAGACCTTTTTTTTTTGAGTTGGAGTCCCACTCTGTTGTCCAGGCTGGAGTGCAGTGGCACACTCACGACCACCCCAGCGTCAGGCTCTGGCGATCCTTTTGCCTCAGTCTTCCAAGTAGTGGGAACTACAGGCATGCGCTACCATGCCCGTCTAAGTTTTGATTTATTGTAGAATCGAGGTCTCTCCACATTGCCTGGGCTGCTCTCGAACCCACAGTCTCAGGCAATCCATTTGCCTCAGCCTCCCAAAGTGCTGGGATTACAGCTGAGCCACCGAACCCGGTCCTGTGAGTCCTTTAATCACAAAACCTCTGCCCACCCCAGCGTTTTGCTATTTTAACCTACAGTTACTATCTTCGTATGTATTTAGTGTCTTCCATATTTTGTGTAATTCTTTTTTTTTTTTTTTTTTGAGTTGGAGTCTCACTCTGTCGCCCAGACTGGAGTGCAGTGGCCGCTCCCGGCCACCGCAGCCTCGACCTGCTGGGCTCCGGCGATCCTTCCACCTCAGCCTTCCGAGTAGCCGGAATTACAGGCATGCGCTACCATGCCCGGCTGATTTTTTGATTTATTGTAGAGATGAGGTCTCGCTGCCCAGGCGGGTCTCGAACCCACAGGCTCAGGCAATCCACTCACCTCAGCCTCCCAAAGGCGCGGGATTACAGGCTGAGCCACTGAGCCCGGCTTTGGAATTCTTTATTGTTATCCTCAGTGGGAGGAAAGGGTTAACTGAGCAGCTCTGGGTCACTTATGCCAGCACCATCCCAAGGAAGGGCTGCTTTCAGGACCAGGGAGTTGTGCCCTGGAGCTTTGCCCGAGTTCTGCACTCGGGGTTTAGGGCACTATCATGTGAGTTTTTCCATGTAGTTCATCCCAAGTGTGATTTCTGGGGAACACTTGCTTTCCTTCATGGCTGGAGCTTTAGCAACTGAGGTCACACAGACTCCGTGTGCGTATGTGCCTGGTCCCAAGAAAGTCTGCTCAGCAGGCCCAGGTGCGCTCTGGTTGACTTTGCACATGTGGTCATACATCATTGTTGGAGGAATTAAGCACATCCTGTGGGACTCTGTGAGAGGGGCCTGGTTTCCTCCAGATTTTATTCCCAGCACAGTGACATGTGAGTCCATTTAGCAAAGCACAGAGCCTGAGGTGGTCTTGAAGACATCCGCCCACCCCACGTGGCTATACTGACTGGCTTCAGTTGCAGGGTAATAGAAACTACTCTCGCTGGTTTAAGCAAAAAGTGCTTATCACGGATGCTATGGGTTCCAAGAGGGTTGGAAAGCACTTATCCTCATGGATCCTGTGGTTTTCAAGAGGGTTGGAAAGTGCCTATCATCACGCATTCTCTGGTTTCCAAGATACTTGGAACAGCTGAAAAAGCAGACAGGGCTTCCAGGAACCATTTCCATCCCCAACATTACTCTTCTTCTCCAGAATCAGAAGTCTCAAACAATGAACAAGTCTCTATTTTTCTGATACTTTAAAGTTTTCTAATGAGAGAAAGCTAATCTCACTGGACAAAAATGAATACTGAGTAATAAGTGACAACAAGTTATCTCCAGTGTCTTGCTGTCATGGTGGTTAGGGTAACACCTGCCTGAAAGCTGGAGATTATAAGTTGACTTGCGAATCAACTACTTTATGATGGTAACTTACACACACACACACAAAAACAGAACACAAGCCGGGCTCGGTGGCTCAGCCTGTAATCCCGCGCCTTTGGGAGGCTGAGGTGAGTGGATTGCCTGAGCCCACGGGTTCGAGACCCACCTGGGCAGCGAGACCTCATCTCTACAATAAATCAAAAAATCAGCTGGGTGTGGTAGCGCATGCCTGTAATTCCGGCTACTTGGAAGGCTGAGATGGAAGGATCGCCGGAGCCCAGCAGGTTGAGGCTGCGGTGGCCGGGAGCAGCCACTGCACTCCAGTCTGGTTGACAGAGTGAGACTCCAACTCAAAAAAAACCCCCAAAAAACAGAACACAGACAACAAAAATCTCAACAAGCAAGACACTCATCTATACAGTGTCAGGCTAGGCAGGTTGTGTTATTGTTGAATAAAGAAAGCAGGAAGCTTGTTTACTTTCCTCTTCTTTCCGTTCACAGAACTGTCAGATGCTCACCTTGGCCTCCTCCAGGTCCTGTCTCTTCAACCTCTCTTACATAATTACCACTGGCTGCCTTAGAAATAGGGATCTGGGCGTAGGCCCAACTATTTTGACCTTTGAGGTTGAGATTCTTGCTAAAGAACTGTAGTTCTTGGCAGAGGTTACATTTGATCCAGATATCTAGGAAAATAATAACTATGTTGGAGATGTTTATACACACAAGCAATGGCCAAATATCACTGACTTAAACTTTCTAATTCCTCAGAGGAACTTGCAACTTTACAATTACTGATCTTGGACCACTGTGGTAATTTCTTAAACAGTGAGAGAAAACGAATACCGGGGATTTAAGATACACTGTCACAATGAGGTCCTATTCTTTTAGTTCTGCACTTACAACATGTGTATACATAAAAAAACCTCACAGAGGAAGAATGATAAATGCTAACATAGGTTATCACTTATCTTAGGACAAGATAGTGAGTGACTTTTACTTTATTCCTTATTATACTTTCCGGATTGTTAGAAAATTCTAAAGTGAGCATATATTATTTTAATAATCAGATGGGAAAATAACGATATTAAAATGTGAGAAAGAAAATCATTTAAAAAAGCATATCCCCAAATCTCAAAGTTCTGTAGATTTAAATTACCTAATTGATAATAATGTGTTTTTGTAAATTATGTAGCATTATGAAAATGCAATGTAGTTAATTTTCCTAAGTCCACAGTCTCCTCTTCTTAGGTAGAATTAATAGGTCTGATACCATTAGGCATATTTAGTTGCAGAATTTTATTTTAAAGGGATTTCTTGCCATAACATTGTATCTGTGGCATTCTTAATACAAATCATTTGTAATGGTCAAATCATAACAATATTTGCAACAAGTTCTCATTAAATTTCCCTAAAAACAGAAAAGGTAAACATTATATACCATTTTGAACTTAACTATTCCCTTAAAATTTTGAAACAATTTAGTGTAGAATTTTAGCCTCAAAAAAACTATGGGAAATTATATAGCAGATACAAAGTTCTTTATAATAAAATCTGAGATAAAAATAATATTTTACAGGTTGAAAATTTTTTAAAATGCAAAAGTGTATTATAAATATACTTTGGAAATCCGATAGATTTAAAGGCACTTTAAAAATTGTCTAGTTGCACCATTACAGATAGGACATGTTTGAGAAAATCCAATCTGTAAGTCTAATACCAAGACTGTTTCTTCCTGCCAAAACATAGAAATAATTTATTGGAAGAATCTATGAGCAGTATGATTAGTTTGACTTCTTCATAAAGATTCTTTTACAATTTGGGCTAATACCTGGAAGGCCTAGAATAGAAAAGAGATAAAAATTGATTAAATTATGATGCCACTTTGGAAAAGTTTGTTATGACTTTTAAAAATTCCAACAATATCTATCTGAGGTTGAGAAAAGGCAGTGAAAAGTCAAGTTTAACATTGGCTTGATCTGGAAAGGATGCATCATACCTACTAAAATGTGGGTAGAAATACTTAAGATTTCCAGGATTTCATTTGTTTTTACAGTGCTCAAGATCATCATTTGCTATTTCAACCATAACACCAATTATATTTTCATATACTCTCTCACCTGCATGTGCATTCTATATAGCTTCAGTTGTCCTCTATTCATATAGAAAGCAGAGAGAACTTAGAAAAAGCATTTTTAAAGACATGAAGAAACAAGTAAAGAAAGAACACACCACAGATGTCCCTCTCCAAGAACCCATATAAACTCTGCTCAAGGTTAACAGCACTGTTCAATTTATAGTTCTTCTGTTTAGATTCCAGATACACAGTCTTCAGGATCTTATTTCTTTGCTTCTTCTTATTTAGGTTAAAGTTAACTGTGATTCATTCAAAAATTCTATTCTAATTGAGACTTATTCATCATTTTTTCTTCAGAGAAAGAGACTGATGACTATCATGTTAATTCCATGAGGGAAAGAAAGAGGTTTCCCTTATAACATGCTGGTACTCTCCCAGCACTGTCCAGAAGGTTGTGAAAAATTATCCATGCAGACCACAAACTCCAACTTAGTCTCATGTGTCTATAGACGTATAGCAATGAAGTTAAAAAGGATCTTTGAATGGTAGTTCATGATTGGTCAACTAATATCTGGTTTTTAGAAACCCAAGACAACCTTAAGTCACGTTCTAATTCACAAAGTAAATACATGCACCAAAAAAGTAAAAATGATAGCCAGTGTTGCTCTGAAGGTAATAATGCACTCACCACATCCATCTGTTCTGGAGAAGCTGAAGAAAAAGATGCTCTCAAGTAGGGGCTTGGCAATGAGCTGTTGGTGTAGAAAGAGTTTCCAGGAAGTATTAATACCTAAGAGAGTTTATGAGAAATGAGTTAAGTACCACTGCTAAAAGAAAATGTGGTAAACCTAATCTTAGAGTGAGGAAGGATGTCTTAAGTTTAAAAGCAGCTCAACAAATTACAGGAGAAAAAACAATTTATATAAAAATTGTGTATGTCATACAACAAAACACACAGAAACTGGAAAAGTGTTTATGATAAACATGGCAAATACAATCTCTTATTGATATGTAATGAATGGACAGAAACAGAAAAACACTCAAATTCTAGCTTTAATGTGCAAAGGACAGCTTATTTAAAAAGTAGAAGTTGTAACAAATATAAACAAATGTTTAACTTAACTAGAAAAGTAAATCCAGATAATGAGACAACACTTTTAAGTTAACACACCTAATACTGAAACACTATGAGTTAGGTTGTGGGCAACTCTTTCCATTTCTAGTCAAGTGAACATTGGCTTTAAAGAAAAAGTATGACTTTCTTATGGAGCCTCCACCCTCACCTCCCAGTTTTACCTCTCTCTTAATGGCTTTTTCTTCAATCAGTCGTTTTGCATCCTCAATACCTTTAAGTTTAATCCAAAGGAACATTCCAGCAGCAGGAACATGCCATTCTGCCAGACCTACAAACAGCAGGAGAGAATAAATGTCTTCTGATGGCAGGTATGTTAGCAATAATTTTTAAGCCAGCGCTTCCAGAAACGTTCCTTCAGAGACAGCGGTTTAGAAAATATATTCTTATGTGCCCTGAACATTGATGTCCTGGGTTTCATTTCAGAATCAGTGAGGGAGGAAGGGGTGGGAGACCAACAGCTTGCGTACGTGTGTGTTCAACTGTGGTCAGTCTGGAGGCAGCGGGAGAAATCATTTGCTTCTTCTTCAGAACCACACCTAGACAAATATGACTATTTCAGTTTTGGGAGATTCTTCAGCTCTTTCCGGAGTCTTCCAGCATTTCAATAAATCCTATCATTTACCACATCATTTAGAAGTCCAACAGATTACAGTTTTTACTGGAATATAATTAGTTATGAAAAGAAGTGTTTAAAATTCAAGAATTCCAGAAGTATTTGTGGGTGTTATATTTCTCTGAATATTAGGATAGAGAAATCAAGATGAAAGAATAATTATATTGATTAAAATTGCTATCTTTTTTAGAAAAGAAAGCTTGCTGTTGATTAAAACTCTTTCTTCAGCATAACTATGCAAAATGGTAGAATTGTACTCTTACCAAAAAGATAATAATTCTATTCTTATCAAGACGTCATAGGAAATGAGATAGGACAGAAATAAGGAACTGATATTTCTGGTTTACTACTATTCATATTAAAGGCATTTTAATAATAATTTTAATGATATAATTAAAGACATGCAACTCATTTGACTTTCATAATAGAAAAGTAAATCTAAGACATCCTTCAATAAAATTAGCAATAGAAAATGTGAGACAGATAAATGAGGCTTATGAGTAGAAGATGGATAATTTGTTCACAAGAGACCTGACTTTGTGCAGTTTCATTAGAGAAGGAGTATATAGTTTGTTTGACAATTCCTCTTCTATTTGGGGCAAAATTTGGAAATAACTCTGAAATTTTTTGTATGTTATTTAGCTTTAAGTAAATTTTGGTAGTTGTTTTTTAGATCAACAGTTGTTTTTTTATTTGAATCACAAATTCTTTGCAGCAGACAGGTAAAATGCATAGGAAGTCCTGTGCCCAGGTTTGTTGAATGTTACTTCTGAGATAACTTAGGGGGTGAGACTTTCTTGGTAAGCCCACTCCTTAATAACGTGCAGTGTTTACCATGAAGAAGGGCACGTGTCCTACTCACCACTTAGCCACTTGTCTGCAGCTGCCAATATTGCATTCTTCTGGCTGTTGTAGAATTCAATGACCCTAGAAGAAGAAAATGTGGAAGGATATACTCAGTATGCTGACTGAAAAGATGAAAAAGGCTCTGGAGTCCAGGCTTTAAAGATTGGTTTTCTGTCTTGATGAAAATGTTGAATGCTTGATACAAACATATTTGTTTGACTGTCTGCTAATAAATTTTTTACCATTGTGCTTTTTCTTTTTTTGTAAAAATAATTTAAAAAATTAGATAAACTGATAATGAAACATCATTTCTATGTAAAATATGGAAACTAGAAGTAGCAGGATCAATCTTTGTGTTTGGTCTAAAATAATAGTTCTTATCTGCAGGGTAAGAACATTCCGAATCAGAGAAAATACTATTGGATTGATGAACCACTGGCCTGGGAATGAGATACCCCGTCTTTCTTATTTCTAAATGTTGAAGTACTGTATTTTCATAACTAAAGTAACTCATGACCTGTACTAACACACTGATTATTTCTCACTCATCTGTGCATGAGCCAAATCCCATGTCATGTGCTCCTTACAGTTAACCGATTATTAAATAAAATATGCATATGTATACGTAGTTTACCCTTGAAATCAGTTAAATGAGTGAAAGTTAGCCTTAGTGGGAATTTGAGATCATGTCAGGTGTGGTTGACACTGCTTTCAAATCATAGTTTGCATGCTCCTGAGAAGACTCTTTAGGTAAAGAGTCAATAAAATAGACTTTTGACTTCCAGAAGACTGTTACTGCCATCTATCACGGGATACTTGGGAAGGAAAAATAAGTCAGTGCCCTGGGTGCCCTGGACTGTGTCCATTGAACTCCCATTTGTTCATCAACATTCCAGCAACAGTGCAGTACCTGTGCACATGAGCCAGGAACCCCTCTTCTCCCCACTGGTGTAGGAGCTGTAAGATCATCAGCTGAAAGGAATAAGACAACAGCAGATGTTGTGGTTCATACTCTGAAAATGTGATTTTTGCCAAATGTAAAAGCAAATCACTTTTTATTACTTGCAACTACCATAAGAAGATATGATAAGCTGAATCCAGCTTACATAGTTAGTGATGCATGACAAATGTTAATTAATAACAATGATGACAGTAATAAACATTACAAATATTTATATAGTACTTGTTATGTGCCATGCACTATGGTATTATATAATATGTTTTAGCTAATGCAATCTCATAAATTTGTATTTTAATGATGAGGAAATTAAGGCACAAAGGTTAAGTTAACCTTCCTGAAGTCACACAGCTGGTCACAGAGCCCGAGTCAAAGTCCAACTACCCACTCCAGATTCGTGCTGCTAATGACCATACCACACTGCCTCTCTAGATAGAAACAGATACAGTGGATGTATAGAGTCAAAGGGCATATTTGAAAATTTTCTATCTAAAACAGAAGTTTGAAATGATGTAAATTGATAGTGAATTTCTGTTGATAACAGATACAAAAATATGGAAACAAGTCCACAAATTGACAAAACATAAGGACATTTGCCCTTCATGAGATGTACAATATCAACAAGCAACCTATTCCACACAAAATTTTCTATTCTTTTCTTATGCTTGAAATTTGTGAGGTTGTGATAGTGATGAATTCAATAATTTCTCAAAGTTTGTGAAGAAATACATTCATTTTCCAAAGTTATTTTTACTTTATTTTAATTAAAATGCATTCCAACCAACGTCTTCAGGCAAAGTTAGTGCATCTGTAATTAGGGCAAACTGAGTCACTAGACAGGTTTGGGATTCTTGCTGTCATCTGTTTTTTTATTCTTATCTGATTAAAACAAATCCATTTTCTAAATTGTTCTTACCTGGCTAAAAGTGCTGGTGTGCAGTGTCGAAACTTGTGTGTGTAAAACAACTCTCTCTATCAAGGGTTTTGGACCAGTTAGAAACCCTATTCTCAACCTACACACAAAAAAAGAAAAGGCATGATACCAATTCCATATTAACAATGAATACATACCACTATTCTTATCTTGTTGGGAAGAGAGCTGTGACCTGGGGACAAATGATCTAGACAATTAAAACATTCTCATAAAACTAACTTCTTTATTTCAAATATAAATTTACAATTAGGTGTACATTTAAGACAAGATAGAGGATACTAAAACCCACAACTTTAGATTAGTGGCCAAGTATCTAAAGAGAGAAAAGGCCTATGTTAACAACCAAGCCAATGTTTTAAGAAAAGTGGAATATAGGCATCTTAAGTGAAAAGGATTGTTTCAACTACAAGATACTGAATTCAGTCTCTAGCTCTCTTAGATCTAGCTTCAAGTTAAAGACACAGGTCTTACCCAGCGGAGAGGACTTTTGAGAAAGAGTCGGCTCTGATTACACGCCCATCAACATCCAAGGAAAGAAAGGATGGTGCCCAGGACTTAAATTGGAAAAATAATACTGTTGGTTTGTGAAATCTGCTGGTTACAATATGATTAGTTTGCACAGAAAGTGGACAGGATGTGGATTTGGGTAAGTTACAACAGCACACATATTTTGTTATCTTTATTTCAACCCTTTAACATGAACTAAGTACCAGAGATGCATGTAATTTTATTAGCAACTGCTTGTCTTCATGGCTTTTCTGCCACAAGCACATGCATGGGCTTCTTTCCTTGCTCCAGATGCCATTCTTATGAATTTAGGAAAACTTGCAATGGACCCTCCTTGCCCCAGAGGTTGAAGTTCAGGATTAACAGACTTAAAGGAAGGTCACAGGAATAAAGACCAAAATGAAGCAGGCCAGCGGCATCCAGGCATGTACAGAGAGAGAATGCTGGTCTATAGAACCAACTGGAAAGAGAAAAGATGAGCATGAAGATGAGAATGGCGTCAACATGGAAGACCGACTTCAGTATTGACTCAAGAGTAGTACAAACAAGACAGGATCATAGGTGTGCTGAGTGTGGGAAAAGAGGCCAGTGGAAATGTGTTCTGGCAAACCATGTAGGGAAATCATGGGAGGCCAAGCGGGAGGATGCTGGATCCCAGAAGTTTGAGACCTGCCTGGGCAATAGAGCAAGACCTCATCACATCTAAAAAAAAGAAAATAAAAGTGTGTGGGGTGGAAAGAAAAATCAAGAGTTTTTGTTTCTTCTCAGCATGTTAAAAGAGGGAGCTGAATCCAAGTAATGTTCCTTGCAACCCTGAGAGCAAAGACAGAGTTCAATTTTGAGAAATTGTGTGTTGGTTGTCTCAGCACTACTACTGTCTATTAGAAAACAGTAGTGGTGAGAAGTAGCATGCATGCTTGCATCTATCATAGAGTGAGAATGAATCTGAACACCTGTCATTCTGCAGATAAGGTCCAGGACACAGATGACAGGGTGGCACATATGTGTCTCCACCTGTCTATGGTGGACACTGACAGAGGACAGCCCACTTCCTCCAGCCTGAACACAGCTTCCCAATCTTTCCCAGACATCATTCCAGGCAGCTAGTGTTGACCGAATGGACATCTAGGAGGAATCCGCTTCACTTCCCTGGTGTGGTGTTTACAGAGCTAGACCTGGGAGGTGTTGCTCAGGAGACCCGCCAGCCCTGTTCCACCATGAGCCCAAATGCATAGCACAGAGCCACCCTGTTGCTCTGAAGGTCAGCAATTTCTGGAAAGAGCAGTAAGACCCACAATGAAAAGTACTCATCCCATGATAAAACTGGAAGATTGAAGTGGTGGCAAACTAGTCATAACTCATTTGGTTTCAGCATAAAAGTGGATTAGCTCCAACTCAGCAGCCCAGTTAACAGCAAATGCAGCGCAAATCCGTACAACAGCTTGTCTTCTAATCGTAAGTTCACCTCATCACTTACCTTGTCAAACTGGAGGAAATAGTAAGGGTCATCTTCTATTATGAGGAAGTCATATTTTCTTGCAAGCTAAAAAAGGTAAAAGCAATATATTTACTCCTTGAAGTAACATATTTATTTCTTAAGAGCATCTAAAATTGAAATCATTTGGATTCAAAATTCTTTTCTCTCATTAATTCATTAATTCGCTTAAGAATGTGTTAGTACCCACTGTCCTATGTAGTGGGGACTCAGAGATAGACACAGCACTAGAGGTTCTTGTTCTCATGGAATTTATTCTAGTGGGAAGATGAATATACACAAGCTCCTGGACCATGAGCAGGTTAAATATCAGGCAGGGGTCCTGGCATGCTGTGCAGGGCATTGCAACAGGCAATGCTGAGGGGTAGTGGGGGTAATTTCAGGTGATCACTAGTAACACTTCCCAACCAGTAACACCAGTGCTTAAGCAGCAGCAAGGAGTCAGCTATGCAAATACTGGAAAGGAAGAATGAACTGACATGAGGGAGGGCAAAGGCCCTTGGTGAGCAAACAGCCAGGCTGCTGGAGGGCTGGAATGACTGGCAACTGCCCCCTAGGCTGTAGCAGGAAGGGGGGATGACAAAAGATAAGTTCTGAGGACAGTGTCCTCAAATGCAGGGCAGATAAGGAATCTGGGCTCTGTTTCAACTATATGGGGAAGAAACCGGAGGACTGTCAACAGGGGAGTCATGAAGCTGGCTTCACAAAGGTGTCAGCAGGGAGGGACGTGACTGGCTGTGGTGCAAAGAGAGACCCAGAGTGACCCAGGGTGCATGAGGAAGGACCTAGGAGCCCAATGAGGCCGAGCGGCTGCTTAGAGGATAGGACAGAATGGTCATGCAGAAACACAAATGGACTTGGATAAACCTGGTGGGGGAGTCCACAGGATGGACCAGGTATGGGGTGGATAAAGTAGAGGGAGAGAGAGGAATAAGGGGGCACCATCATGGTCACGTAATTTATGGGGATGGAGACTGTGGGTGATTGTGGATGAGAGGCTTGGGTGCAGTCTGCAGAAACCAGGGTCCCACCTTGGTGATAAAGCTGGGAATGTCTGTTATACATCAGTGTGGAGACATCCAGGAGGAAGTTGGGTACATTCTTCTGGTGTCCATGGGAGAGGTGGGGTAGGCAAAGTAGGTAGTGTGGCCGCCATCACATACAGAATGGAATTTGCTGCCACAGAGCTGGGTGAGGTTCTAGGGAGTTATGTAAACAGAGAACCCAGAACAGAGCCCAGGAGAACATTAAAAATAAAAACATACTTGGAACCTAGACATTTTCTAAGTGAAAAAAAAAAAAAAAGACAACAGCTAAACTCTTTGTATGAGTCTCCTTCACTCGATGAATCGTGGACAGTTTCACGAGGGCTTGCTGTTTATCCAAAAAGCTGTTTGTAGTGAAAGGCTGGGGAATGCAGGTTAGTGCATAAAAGAGACTTTATAAAAGGCTACTTTTCTCTTATTTTTCAAAGATTTCTGTAGGACTCAAGGTATGTTTGACATTTAAAAAAATGTTTACAGTTAAAAGCCAGGCATCATAGGTACCTCAAGGAGATCTTAAAAAGAGGAGTGTGGCTCTTATTTTAAAGAATTTTTGGTAACTTAGAGTGACAGGGAGTAGGAAACATAAATATGAAGTAATAAAAATCAAACCTGAGGTCAAATAGTCAATAATCTCAAAGTTTGACATCAGGCCAAGGATGCTTTTATTTTGTATTAAGATACTAATCAAGGGAAAAGAAAAAAATCTCAATTAATGAAAGATGTAGTAATTTAGTATGTCTAAGTTCATTAGGACCCTTGGCATAGATGACTCTTCTTTTTTTTTTTTTATTAAAAATTATCTTTCTTGAAAACAAGAGGTTATAAGAAAGGGAACTTGCATAGTATTCTCCTAAAAAAGTCCAAAAGAAATAAACATAACTATGTGAACACATTATTTTACAATACCTCATAGATTTCCTTTCTGCGATCACTTGATAAGGAGTATCCAGTAGGGTTGTTGCCATTTGGGACAGTATAAAGAAACTTAGGGGTGTTTTTCTTGGGGTTCTTCGAATCTTCTGGTTTCCATTTGGAAAGTGAGTCTCTGAGGGAGTCTGGAATAATCCCATGTTTATCACTGGCAACACTAATAATGTTACATCCCAGTGGCTGCAGCTGTTGAGCATAAAAAAAGCCCAGAAGTCAGACATGGTTACAAAATGTAAGTGCCATTGGGTTTTTCTTTCCTCTATTTTATTCTAATCATTTTTATCATTACTTCTTCTGTTGTTTTTTTAGAGATGAGGTGTCTATGTTGCCCAGGCTGGTCTTAAACTCCCAGGCTCAAGCGATCCTCCTGTCTAAGGCTCCTGAGTAGCTGGGGCTACAGGTGTGAGCCACCATATTCAGCAGTTTTTCTTTTCACACTACCCAAGAGCACAGCCATTTATACCTTAAACATATAAACCTGTACTCAGCTCTAAGCTCCTGGGGGTTGAGGTTGGATATTTTAATTCTATGTTCCCTGGGTAGATCCTAGTATTGTTTAAAAATCCCTCCTGTCCCTTCCCAGAGAAAGGATTATCCTTCCTTGTCCCATCTATGGGTCAGGCTTGGCCAGTTAGTACTGTGCAGAGGTGGTGTGTGTTCTTGTTAAGTAGAAGCTCTAAGGTTCAGCTGTGGTTCTGTTTCTTCCCTCTGCTCTAAGAGTAGCAATGTTCCAGACAGAGCCTGCCTCTATTCAGCATGGGGCTTGAAAAGGAGATCCCATGGAACAGAGCTGCAGTGGTCTTGTGGCATCTTGTGGTGGAAATATAGAATGACAGAAAGAAACCTTTGTGGCCAAGAGCCACTATACTGGGGTCACTGTTAGGTAGCATGGCCTGTCCTCTTTTGACTGAATTACCTTTATAATTATCATTAGAACTAGTTCATGAAGTAGGTTTTTTGTTTGCTTATTTGTTTTTGAGTTGGGGGTCTCACTCTGTCTCCCAGGCTGGAGTACAGTGACACGATCACAGCTCACCTCACCCTCCCAACTAGCTGGGACTACAGGTGTGTGCTACCATGCCCAACTAGTTTTTTTTAATTTTTTTTATTTTTTGGAGAGACGAGGTCTCGCTATGTAGCCTAAGATTGGTCTTGAACTCCTGGGCTCAAGCAATCCTCTTGACTTGGCCTCCCAAAGTGCTGAGATTACAGGTGTGAGCCACTGCACCCAGCTGGTGTTTATTTATGACTGTCTTTTGACAGCGTAAATGAATCAAATGAAGCACCTGTTGTGCTGATATATAAAATAGTTGCAAGCAGGGAAAATATTAAAAATACTTGGCAGGGTATAGCATGGGCACATCGGATGCAGATGAAGGCAATCCTCTGACCTCGGCCTCCCAAAGTACTGGGATTACAAGGTGTGATCCACCATGCTCAGCATATTCTAAGTATTTCACTTAAGTGGAATGACACCTTTGGCCTTTTGTGTCTGGCTTCTTTCAGTTAAAATGTTTTCAAGGTTCATTATGTTGTGACATGTATCAGATCTCTGTTCCTTCTTATGGCTGGATGCATTTCCACTGTATCCATACACATTTCATTTATCCATCCATCTGTAGATGGACACTTTTTGCTATTGTCAATAACTCTGCAGTGAACAGTTGGATTACAAGTATCTGCTTCAGTTCCAGTTTCTAATTATTTGGGGGTATATACCCATGAGTGGAATTGTGGGCTATGTGGTAATTCTGTTTGACCTTCTGAGGAACTGACCAACTGTTTTCTACAGTGGTTGCACCATTTTATATATATTTATGTATATAAGGGATATATTTATATATTTTTATATAATATAAGGAAACTAAAAAGTAATGATAAAAATGATTAGAAAAATAGAGGAAATATATATGTGTATATCATATAAAAATATATTCATATATATTATACATATATATAAAATGGTGAAATATTATATATTATATGTATATAGTTTGATGATATTAGGTTGGTAAAAAAGTAATTGCAGTTTTGTACTGTGAATTTTAAATCATTATAACTAGGCTCAAACACATCTTTACTGATCAAAATAGAAACCATTGCAGTCAACACATTTTTGCCAGCGAGAAATAAGTTTGTTTATTCCTGTAGCATAAAAATATGTGCTTTGGGATTCAACTAACTATTGGAGAGCGTTTTCTGCATCCTGTTGGTTGTGTAAGCATTTTCCCGGCAGAGAGTTGTCAAAATGCCTGAAGAATTGGTAGTTGAAGGGCACGAGGTCAGGTGAGTACGGGGGATGAGGCAAAACTTCAGAGCCTAATTCGTTCAAATTTGAAGCAGTGGTTGTGTAATGTGCAGTTGATGTTGCCATGGAGAAGGATTGGGCCCTTTCTGTTGGCCGATGCTGGCTGCAGGCGTTGCAGTTATTGGTGCATCTCATTGATTTGCTGAGCATACTTCTCAGATGTAATGGTTTCACTGGGATTCAGAAAGCTGTAGTGGATCAGACCGGCCACAGACCACCAAACCGTGACCATGACCTTTTTTGGTACAAGTTTGGCTTTGGGAAGTGCCTTGGGGCTTCTTCTTGGTCCAGCCACTGAGCTGGTCATCACCGGTTGTCATATAAAATCCACTTTTCATCACATGTCACAGTCTGATCAAGTAATGGTTCACTGTTGTTGGGTAGAATAAGAGAAGATAACACTTCAAAAATGACAATTTTTTTGTATTTTCCATCAGCTCCAGAGGCAGCCACTTATAGAGATTTTTCACCTTCCCAAGAACAACCACAGAATGGCTGACGCTTACAACTTCTCATGTAGTTGTAAGAGGATCAGCTTCGATGATTACTCTCAGTTGGTCATTATCAGCTTCTGATTGTCAGCCACTATGCTTCTCAAATTCAAGACTCTCACCTCCTTTGCAAAACTTCCTGAACCACTGCATTGTATGTTCATTAGCATTTCCTGGGTCATATGTGTTGTTGATGTTGCAAGTTGTTTCCACTGCTTTATGACCCACTTTGAACCTGAGTAAGAAAATCGTTCAACTTTGCTTTTTTGTCTAACATCATTTTCATAGTCTAAAATAAATATAAAATAAACATCAAGTACTAAGTCACTAGCAAAAAAATAATCGAGCAATGCACATCAGAATGATGTATAACATAACCACATTTATTTAAGAATGTATTCCAGTATCAAATGGCAACTTTCAACAATGCAAAACTGCAATTACTTTTGCACCAACCTATAGTCATCCTGGTAGGAGTAAAGTAGTATCTCACTGTAGTTTTGATTTGCATTTTTCCATTTTGCAAAACCTTTATTAAAAAATGTTTTATTTTATACATTGAAATAGAGATGGTGTCACACTATTGCTCAGGCTGGTCTTGAGCTCCTGACCTCAAACGATCTTCCTGACTCAGCATTACCAAAATGCTGGAATTACAAGGTGTGAGGCATGGTGCCTGGTCTGCATTGTTCTTAAAAAAAAAAAAAAAATCCCCCCAAGCCTCAGTCTTGCCAAATAATCAGACTTCACATGCAGCTTCTGTGCATTGACTTGCATTTCTCTAATGACTAATGATACTGAGCATCTTTTCATGTGCTTATCGACCACTTGCATATTTTCTACAGTGCAAAGTCTATTCATACCCTTTGTTCATTTTAAAATTGGGTTGTCTTTCTGTTATTGAGTTGTAGGAGTCTTTTATATATTCTGGATATTAAAACTTTATCAGATACATGATTTGCAAACATTTTCTCCCATTCTTTAGGCTGTTATTTCACTTTCTTCCTGACATCCCTTAGGTGCACAAAAGTTTTAATTTTGAAGTTCAATTTATTTGACTGTTGTCGCTCATGTTTTTCATGTCAGATCTAAAAGAATTCAACACCAAATCCAAGGTCATGAAGATACACCCTCATTTTTCTCCTAAAGATTTCGTTTTAGCTCTTATATTTAGGTCTTTGATCTATTTTGAGTTAAATTTTTACACAGTGTGAGGTACAGGTCCAATTTCTTTCTTTTGCATGTTGAAATTCAGTTGCCCCGGCACCATTTTCTGAAGAGACTATCCTTCATCCATTGAATGGTCTTCACACACTTGTTTACAGTTGGATTTATGGGTTTATTTCTGGAGTTCCAATTATATTCCATTGATCTATATGCCTATCTTAAATCAGTACCTGGTATAAAGGTATTAATATAAATCATGGTTTTGATTACTGTAACTTTGTAGTAGTAACTCTGAAATTGGGAAGTGTAAGTTCACCCAATTTATTCTTTCTCAAGATAATTTTGGCTCGTTGGGCCCTTTAGACTGCCACATGAATTTGGCAATTGGCTTTTCTATTTTTAGAAAGGCTGTTGGCCTTTTGATAGGGATTACATTGAATCTGTAGATTACTTTGGGTAGTATTGGCATTTTAACAATATTAAGTCTTTCAATTCATGAACAGAGGATATCTTTCCATTTACTTGGGTCTTCTTTAATTTCTTTCAGCAAAGTTTTACAGTTTTAATGTAAATGTCTTTTACTTCCTGTGTTAGATTTACTCATAAGTAATTATTCTTTTGGATACTATTGTAAGTATGATTGTTTTATATGTTGCTTCCTATTTTATTTTATTTTATTTATTTATTTTTTTTGAGTTGGAGTCTCACTCGGTCACCCAGACTGGAGTGCAGTGGCCGCTCCCGGCCACCACAGCCTCACCTGCTGGGCTCCGGTGATCCTTCCACCTCAGCCTTCCGAGTAGCCGGAATTACAGGCATGCGCCACCACGCCCGGCTGATTTTTTTTGATTTATTGTAGAGACGAGGTCTCGCTGCCCAGGCGGGTCTCGAACCCGCGGGCTCAGGCAATCCACTCACCTCAGCCACCCAAAGGCGCAGGATGACAGGCTGAGCCACCGAGCCCGGCCCTATTTTATTTTTTATAAAAATAACATGAAATTTGAATAAAAGAGAGAACCCATTAAGTTAGAATCAATAGAGTATAAAGGTTATGTCAGTTAATCCCCCTACTCTAAGCTTTTATAGTATTTGTTTAGGTAGCAGTTGAGAATAACTTTGAGAACCTGCAGTGGTAGACAATGCTTCACCTCCCTACAAAGTCAGGTAAGGCCAATGGTTGGAAAGTTCATATACGACAGTGAAATTGTTTCCCTGTGGTTCCAGTAATAATAACCTACGGTCATATACAAAGAAATCTAATTCTTCTGTCACATAGCTAACTTTTATTTATTTGAGTACAGTTCGCATGTCTCCATTAAGCCTTCTCTTCTTGGGAAAAATAGCTTTAGTTCCTAAAACCATTCATCAGCATCCAATTCCCTATATACTCAAAATGCCTTTCTCTGAATGTACTTGCAAGCGGACATTCTATCCTAAAGTAGAGTGCCCCAAACAAACAACTCTCAGCAGTGTGTTCTGACCAGTGCCTCAGAGAGTCAGATGATCAGCTTCCTCATTCCAGATACTATAGTTCCATTGATTTAACACCCAGAGTGGAAAGTCCTAATTATACCATATTAGTTTAGAATTATAGTAAGTTGACATATACCCTGTTGTAATTAGGCACATGATGATAAAATATAGTGATGAAAAAAATAAAGTTTTGAAAATTAAGATACATTTCAAGTAAAAAACCATTGGCTATTATTTTACACAACCAAATTTTAGCATCTATACATTTGGATTTTTAAAAAGAAATGTATAAAGAAAAAGGTACATTAGACGTGCTTTATATGTATCATTTAAGAGTCTCCTGTCTACAGTACAGTATTTATTTTTTCAGTGGATAGATAATTCTGAAAAGACAATGGTTCCTTCTTATTTATCACAAGAGAGTTAACTTTGGTAAAAAAAAAAAAAAAGTATACTCACAGCATGAAGTGTTCCTGGATAAACAGGTTCATCTAGGAGGACGTTATCTCCAGGGTTAATAATCATTTCAAACACCTAAAAAAGAGGCATGAGTTATCTTGTTAGCATAGGTTAGTTTTTGTTTTTTGTTTTTGTTTTGTTTGTTTTTTTTTTTTTAGTGCTCAGAACCTTGTTTTTTAGTTTGAGCTCACATGATTCTAGAGTTGCACTTGTTCAATTTTCTTTAAAGGGCCAAATAATAAGTATTTTGTGAGCCACGGTATCACCATTTCATCTACTAATTTCTGCCTCTAGAGTGAGGAAGCAATCGCGGCAGCAATGAGTTGTGGTGGGTGAAAATAGTTACATCTTGAGAAATGCAAAGAGTTCTGTGGCTTGAGGTGGAGTGAAAAGAGAAGGTTGGGTGAGATCATATAGAAGTGGGTAGAAGCTGGACTTGGTGGCTTAGCCTGTAATCCCAGCAATTTTGGAGGCTGAGGAGAGTGAATTGCCTGAGCCTGCAGGTTCGAGACCAGCCCAGGCAACTTGGCGAGACCTCGTCTCTACAATAAAATAAAATAAAAAATTAGCCGGGCATCGTAGCACACACCTGTAGTTCTGGCTACTTGGAAAGCTGAGAGGGAAGGATCGCCTGAGTCCAGTAGTTCAATGCTGTGTTGGCCTTGAATGTGCCACTGCACTCCAGCCTGAGTGACAGTGAGACTCCAACTCAGGAAGAAAAAAAAAAGTGAGCAGAGACCATATCATGTAGACATTTGAACCAGGAGAGACAAGTAAGAATTTTTTTTTTTTTTTTTGAG